TGGCAGAGCTCACTGTGTTAGGGCCAATCGCTGTGTTTACTGTCAGTGGTGTACATTTGGGTGTTGCCTCAGATATCAGCACAATGCACCTGGAAGCACGGCAGGTTTAATGCAGAGTCACTGCAGACTGTTCAACAGTCTCAGCATGGAGCTCCGACTGCGGTTAGCTGCTGTCAAGGTGGTCTTAATGGATACAGGTGAGTGCAGTAAAGTATCAGTGGTAGTAATCTGTTTCTGTGTCATTATCTACCTATAACAAAGCCTGACGCGTCATTTATACACTGTAAACACAAAACTGTAAAAACAACTGTAATATTCCAGCAGCTGGAGCAGAAAAACTACTGTAATAACTACTTAATACTGTAATATAACAGAAAATAACAGTAAAAATACAGATTAAAGCACGTAAACCATACATCAATAAAGGCAATCACAGCAAACTAATGTAGATTTTAAAAAAAAAATGTGCCACCTGCGCCGCGCTCTGCGCTCTGTTTTAGTCCTGTTTTGCTATGTAACCCAAGCCTTTCAAGTAGATTTCCCCACGGGGATATTAAAGTTTTTCTGATTCTGATTCTGATTCTGATTAAATTCTACAACAAAACACACTGCTCTCAGATTAAAGGCATTTATTTATTTTATTTATTAAGCTCCCAACATGTTGAACAGAAGAAGTTCTAACAACCACAGCTGACAGTATTTTACCGTAAAAATACGTTTCTGTCTGTATCTGAACGTATCATCACTGTGGAAGCTATTGTATTGTTGTGTTTGTTCCAGTGAAAAAAATATGACATTCAATAACGTAAAAATCTAATCAGAATAGAAACATTTTTAAACTTCAACCAACCGTAAAAAACCTCAACAAGGAAATAAAAATAATTTATCTGCTCGTCTTTCTCAGCACTAGCACGTCCAATCTCATCGTTTACCTCGGACGTGACACACAACAACTCTTGAACCCGAACGAAGTGTCCCGGACTGTGTCCCAGATTATCAACCATCCGGACTACAGTGACAGCACGTCCAATAATGACATCTCGTTGTTGCGTCTGTCCTCGCCTGTAAACTTCACTGACTACATCAGACCGGTGTGTCTGGCGGCGAACGACAGCGTCTTTGAGGCCGGGACGACCTGCTGGGGAACAGTCGCAGTAAACAGTGAGAATGGATTCTGTTATTTTAGTGGATTAACTCAGAAACACTTACATCCCAAACGTTTCCAACAATGTTAAAGCTATAGATCTGCTAGGTTACGTTCATGAAAAGCAACAGAAAAGATGTTTGTTGATTTACCTAAATAAAAACGTGCTGCTAGCAACAAGATATAGGAAAGATGGCTGTTCCTTCTCGTTAAACATTAAACATAAACCGATAAAAATAAAACATTTATGCTAGCTGTTTTCTGCCTCCAGCTTTACTTCCAGTCTCAATGCTAAGCTAAGCTAGCTAAGCTATCCACTTTAGATCTTGGTGGTCTATATTTGACCTCTTAGTGGCAGAATTTAAACAACCAATCACAGCCCCAGCACTCCAACTGATTCCTCCTCAAGATTTTAGAAACACAAATACATAGATTTAATTGTATTATTAAATTATAAAAAGAGGAGGAAGTAGAGCATTGGGGACTATTTCTAGCGGCGGATGAATCCACATTTGGTGCTCTAGCGAGTATTTGGGGCAGCAGGATGTTTTTTGGGAAGCTGTATGGCACAGAGGAAGAAGATATATCAGGTTATCAGGATATATCATACACATCTCCAGACTCAACATTAATATTTTTTCTCTTTCAAATCTTCTTCCTTTTCCACAGCGGCTGCAGGAGGTGAGTGTTCCCATCGTGTCCAACAGTCAGTGTGCCGCTGCGTACAACGGAATCTGTAAAATCACCAACAACATGATGTGTGCCGGTCTGGACGAGGGAGGAAAGGACTCCTTCAAGGTGAGTCTGTAAAACACTGTTAACTCTCATATTTACAGCAGCAATAATGAACAGAGTTGTGGCTGGTTCCAAGTGTTTCTCCCCATTCTGAATATTTTTATTTGATATAAATTAATTAACCAAGCAAGCAAGCAAGCAAGCTAACATTATCCAGCTAACAGCACAATCAGAC